TCTTTTCCTCCAATAGAGCACGGGATGGTGAAACTTCCCGGGTCTTTTAATTTTGGGAGAATTTTGCAAGTAAGAAGGGCACTACATTCCTTTGTCAAGGACACGGTTTCAAATTCACTAAGTCTTCTCTTTTTATTGAGGATGTCTTTCAAAATTTTAACATAGCTAGGCATTTGCTCGAGAGCTTCTACCAAAGGTATGTTAATGTGGAGTTGTTTAAAGATGTCCAAAAACTTTTTAAACTGATCATCCACATTTTTGGCTTTCATCCTTCCTGGAAAAGGTAAATCTCTTAGATCTAAATCAGTTGAACCGGTCTTTTTCTGCTGGGCTGTGGGCAGTTTATGCCCACAGTGAGCAGTGTCAGTTGGAGACTGGGTGGTGCTGGAACTGGGTAAAGCTGCTGTTTCTGGAACAGAAACTGGAATTTGAGTTTCTTCAGCTATAGGAAACAGAACTGGAAATTTCAACGTGTCAAAAGAATGTGAAATATTTTCTTGACAAATTGGCTCCACGGGCGTTTCATTTTCGGCATTAGAGTCTCCTAAGTCCTTATCACTTCTTAAAGTCACGGCCTTAACATGTTCCTTAGGTGTTTCCGTGTCACTAGGCAAAGTTCCTTGAGGTCTATTCTTGAGATCCACGGCAAGTTGGCCAAGTTGGGTCTCAAAACTCCTCAAGGTTGCATTGGTTTGGTTTATAAAACCTCTAAGTAAAGATTCGAGCGAACCATTACCCTCCGATGCATTTTGTTGCCTAGGTGCATGTGATTGTGAAGATTGTCTATTTTGGTACATGTGATGATTGTCTTGCATGTGATGATTACCTTGCATGTGATGACCACCTTGATTAAATCCCGGGGGATTTGAAGGTCGGTTTTGGACTTGAGTTGCCCCGGGGGGTTGAAGTCCTTGATTTTCGGCCCATGAAAAATTCGGATGGTTTCTCCAATTTGAATTGTACGTTGGAGAAAATAGGCTATTTCTTGTATGGTTTCCAACATAATTTACCGAAACGGAGTTTCCGAGGCAAAACTCATAAGAATGACTTTCACCACAGAAAACACAAGACTCAGTCATGGAAGAATTAGACATTATGGATTGGACTTGATTCTTTTCCCCATTCAAGTTTAAATTATTTTTAACCAAATTAGTTAGAGCAACAATTTGGGCATTCAAAGAAGAAATGGCATCAAGCTCATGAATGCCCGAGGCAGATTTAGAAATTACAGCACGAGGGTTAGACCATTCAGTATTATTATTAGAAATTCGTTCCAAAATGTCATACCCCTCGTTGTAGGTTTTTGTTGTAAAAGCACCACCGACCGTTGCGTCAAGAATAATCTTAGCGGCACTAGAAAGTCCATTATAAAACGTTTCCAATTGAATACAATGAGGGATTCCGTGGTGAGGACACTTCCTAAAAAGGTCCTTGAATCTCTCCCATGCATCCGATACCGCTTCATCTTCTTCTTGGCGAAACGCCATAATTTCATTTATAATCTTTACATTCCTCGTTGGAGGAAAGTATTTTTTTAGAAATTTTTCCGCCAAATCATTCCAAGTAAGRATCGAGTTTGGTGGTTGGGAATTTAGCCATGCTCAAGCTCTATCCTTCAATGTATAAAGGAAAAGCATCAAGCGTAAGGTCTCTTGAGTAACTCCGGGAATTTTAAAATGATCCGTCATTTCTATAAAAGATTTCAAATGAGATTGCGGATCTTCTGAAGATAATCCCCCAAACTGACCCATAGCAGAAATCATTTGAAACATAACCGGCTTGGGTTCAAAAGATGTTGCTGTCATTTCGGGCCTACCAATTCCCGAGGCCAATTGACCAAATTCGGGAGTTGCGTAGTCCTGTATGCCTCTATTTTTGTCATCGGCAATATTAACCGTGGCTTCCCGAGGAGGTGGATTATCTCCCATGGTACGGTTGGGATTTCGCCGATTGTTTCTACCTCTTCTTCGTCTCCTAATTGTTCTTTCTAACTCAAGATCAAGAGGTAAAAGATCACCGTGTTGTATCTGTGGCATACAACATAGGAACAGCGAATGAAACAACTGACCAAGGCTCAAATAAAAATCAATATCTCAGGATAAAAATCGTGCCAGTCCCCGACAGCGGCGCC